ACATGCACACATACACACATACATACACACATACATACATACATACGTACGTACATACGTACAGACATACATGCATACATACATACATACATGCATACATGCATACATGCATACATGCATACATACACACATACATACACACATACATACACACATACATACATACATACATACATACATACATGCATACATACATACATACATACATACATACATACATACATACATGCACACACATACATACATACATATCTACATACATACATACATGCAAACATACATACATACATACATGCATGCATACATGCATACATACATACATGCATACATGCATACATACCCACATACATACATACATACCGACCTACCTATCTACCTACATACATACATACATACATGCATGCGTGCACACATACATACACATACACGTACACATACACCCACATGCATGCATACATACACACAGTCATACATATCTACACACACTGTATATACACACTGTGTCATGCATGGCGATTCTCTTGCACAAAGTGTCCAGAGCTCCGACCACATTACTCCGCGTCGCACCGCACCCCCTCCTGCCCAGCCTCCCTCCTCCCCCTTCCCAGCGTTCCTCAGTGGCCCAGTGGAACCTTCGCCCAATGCCTCTTCGCCCCGACCACTTTCTTCCGCGTCGCACCGCACCAGCCACCCTTCTCAGCCCTCCTCCTCCCACCCATCCCCAGCCCCCCTGCCCGCCCCGACCCCCTCCTACCCCTCGTCGGAGCTCCTCAGTGGCGCAGTGCAACCTCCGCCAAGTGCCCCCTCCGCCCCGACCATTTTATTCCGCGTCGCCCCCGCCGGACCCCCCCTCCCCGTAGCTCTCCCGCCCCTCCCCAGCCCCGCCCCTGCCCGCTCCCCCCCCAATCCTCTCCAGCGTGCCCCAAAGGTGTAGTGGAACTTCCGCCCAATGCCCCCTCCGCCCCGACCATTTTATTCCGCGTCGCACCGCACCAGCCACCCTTCCCCGCCCTCCTCCCACCCCTCCCCAGCCCCCCTGCCGGCCCCGACCCCCTCCTACCCCTCGCCAGCGTTCCTCAGCGGCCCAATGGAACCACCGCCAAGCGCCCCCTCCGCCCCGACCATTTTATTCCGCGTCGCACCCCGCCAGACCCTCCGTCCCCGCAGCTCTCCTGCCCCTCACCAGCCCCGCCCCTGCCCGCTCCCCTCCCAACCCTCCCTAGCTTGCCCTAAAGGTCAAGCGGAACCTCCGCCCAGTGCCACGTCCGCCCCGACAACTTTATCCCGCGTCGCACCGCATCCCCCGAGGCCCAGGCCCAGTGGAACCTCCGCCCAATGCCCCCTCCGCCTCGACCATTTTATTCCGCGTCGCACCGCGCCCCCCTCTTCCTCTCCCCAGCGTTCCTCACAGGCACAGTGGAACCTCCGCCCAATGCCCCCTCCGCCCCGACCACTTTATTCCGCGTCGCGCCGCGCGAGCCCCCCCCCTCCCTGCCCGCCCCCCTCACAACTCTCCTGAGCGTGCCCCAACGGCCCAGTGGAACTTCCGCCCAGTGCCCCCTCCGCCCCGATCACTTTATTCCGCGTCGCACCGCCCCCCCCCCCGCCCGCCTCCCGTCCCTCCACAGCCCCAGCGGTCCAATGGAACCTCCGCCCACTGCCACCTCTGCCCCGACAATTTTATTCCGCGTTGCACCGCACCCCCCTCCTCCTCTCCCCAGCGTTCCCCAGAGGCCCAGGTGAACCCTCCGCCCAGTGCCCCCTCCGCCTCGGCCATTGTATTCCGCGTCGCACCGCGCCCTCCCCTCCCCGCTCTCCTCCCACCCCCCCCAACTTGCCTCGAAGGCCCAATGGAACTTCCGCCCAGTGCCCCCTCCGCCTCGACCATTTTATTCAGCGTCGTACCGTGCCCGCCCCCCTCCCCGCTCCCCTCCCGTCCGGTTTGAACCTCCGCCCAGAGCCACCTCGACCCTCCGCCCAGTGCCCCCTCCGTCCCAACCGTTTCAGTCTCTTGCACAGGGTACCTAGAGCTCCGACCACATTATTTCGGCGTCACACCACCCCCACCGCCCAGCCCATCCCTCCACCCACCCACACCAACCACCACCACCACCAGCGTGACACCGCCCCCCGTCCAGTGCTCTCTCCACCCAGCCCCCCTCCGCCCCGACCACTTTATACGCCAACCACCACCGCAACCAGCGTGACACCGCCCCACGTCCAGTGCCCTGTCCACCCCGCCCCCCTCTGCCCCGACTACTTTCTGCACCAACCACCACCGCTACCACCACCACCAGCGCGACACCGCCCCCCGTCCAGAGCCCTCCCCACCCCATCCCCCTCCGCCCCGACCATTCTATTTCGGCGCCGCACCGCCCCCACCGCCCAGCCACCCCAGCCGCCCAGTGCCCTCTGCACGCTGGCCCCCTCCGCCCCGACTGCTTGATTTCGGTGTCACACCGCCACCGCCGCCACGCCCCTCCCGCCCCTCCACCCACCCACCCACCCCAACCACCACCAACCACCACCACCACCACCACCACCCACCACCACCACCACCACCACCACCACCACCACCACCACCACCACCACCACCACCACCACCACCACGAGCGCGACCCCCTCCGCCCCGACAATTTTATTTCGGCGTCGCACGGCCACAACCGCCCCGCCCCCGCGACCCTTCCCCCCTCCCCGCCCGCCCAATGCACCCCGCCCCCCCTCCGCCCCGACCATTTATTTCGGCGTCGCACCGCCCCCGCCGCCCCGCCCCCCGACACTTCAGCGAATTCTCGTCCCCTCTCTTCCCCCCTTTCCTCCTCCTCCTCTTTCTCCTCCTCCTCCTCCTCCTCTTCTTCCTCCTCCTACTCCACTTCCTCCTTTTCTTCTTCCTCCTCCTCCTCCTCCTCCTCCTCCTCCATCCTCCTCCCCCTTCTCCTCCTCCTCCTCCTCCTCCTCCTCCTCCTCCTCCTCCTCCTCCTTTGGCACGCGTGCCACTTGTGACCCGGACCCTCCCCCCCCTAAACCGGACGTTTCGGCGGCCCCCTGCATGGACGCCCTTGGAGAAAGGTCCGCTGGCCCTTCCGGGCCTCCCATGGCGCCTTGCCGGGCCTTGCAAGCAGACTCAAGACGATCAGAGGGGTCATCGGAAAGGCGCGGCGCAAGAGAGACCCAAGACAGCATAAGAGCGCTCCAAGAGGAACCTCGATGGTCTGAAGACGGCCCAACTGGCCCCCAAGACACCCCAAGAGGCCATTAAGAGAGCCCCGAATAATCAAACATCGTCCCATTCCCTAAGGAAAAAAGTACGTGTTCAGCATATCCGAGAGGGCGTGATCCACAGCCGCTGCACTGTGAAAAATACCCCCCCTTCTTCCTCTGGAACCCGGGGGACCCCCCCCCTCCGAAAATCCCCCCCCTGCCGGAACCCTGCCCCCCCCCTCCCCCCCTGCCCCCCCCTACCCCCCCCCTTCGGAAAACCGGGAGGGGCCACTACAGGTTCGACCCCCCCCCTCCAGAAAACCTAGGAGGGTCACTACCGGTTCGAACCCCTCCCCCCCCCCCCCCAGAAAACCAAAACCAAAGAGGGGTCACTACCGGTTCGAACTCCCCGCCCCTCGAAAACCGAGGGGGATCACTACTGGTTCGAACCCCCCCCCCGCGGGGGTCCCCAGGACGGCCCAAAAGAGCTCCAAAAACGCCCAGACGGCGTTCTCCTACGAAGCACATCGAGCTGACCCGACGATCTTGGTTCCACGCTTGAGGCTCGAAGTTTAAAGTCCTCGATCGGGAGAGACAGGCAATGGATCTAGATTCGAAGTTCGACGATCGAAGATTTCCAAAGTGCCTGGAGCACTCCAGGCATCCAGGAAGCGACCGAAAATCGATTTGTTCGGATCTACCGCGAGGATTTGTTCGCTGCCGTGCGCTCGCTGCGCTCACGCCAACCCTCTTGTCTTCTTGCCCGTGCCTCGATGACTCTCTCTCTCTCTTTGTCTCTCACCCTCTGCCTTTTGCGTCGACCTCCACGTTCGTGGCATCCGATGGCCATCCTCATTCGCCCGCTCCTTCCTCTAGATCTTCTCACCGTTTCTCCCCCCCTCCTCCTGCCCTCCGCCTCTTCAGCCCCCCCCATCATCCCTGCTCCCTTCCCGTTCCCCCTTCATGGACAGGTGCCATCGCAAGAATTTGATGCTTTGTCGTTTACCAGCACCGTCGCGCGTGACAAAATCATCATGCCTTCCCCACTCCTGCGCACAAGCGAGCAAGCGCATCGGGCGAACGCGGTGTCAGCAAGCACAAGGGATACGATAGAGAAATGAGCCGGTCGCCCGTCCAGGCCTCGAGGTCCCCTTTCTGAAGCCCACGGGGCCCGAGTACATCCATATCCACCGCCTGCCGAGGCCTCCAGAAACCGAGCCTCCAGGCGCTGGCTATGTGTGTGAACCCCCGCCTCCGATCCTCGCCCTCGAGGAACTCGAAGAAGACCCTCAGTGCGCGGCCGAAGTCCTCGCGGCTGAGCCGCCCGCCGCCGCGCTCGCTCACGGCCTCCAGCGCCGAGCGCAGAGAGAAGCCCCGCAGGCGCTGCAGGTCCTCGCGGACGTCCGGGTCTGCGCCTCCTCGGCCGTCGTCCGCGCCGGCCTCTGCCAGGGCCCCGCCGCCCCCCGCCAGGTTGAGGCCCAAGAAGGGCGAGGGCAACGTGACGAGGTGCGCCACCCACTCTTCGTACTGCACCGTGGCGCCGGCGCCGTGCACGGCGGTGTGCCTCCTGCTGGCCACCTGGAACCGCCGGGTGGACTCCGCCAGGGTGCTCGCGAGCACCTGCTCGGGCGGCAGCTGCAGCGGCAGCTTGCGGATCGACGCCTCGACGGCGTCGAGCTGCAGAAGCCCCGTCCGCTCGGGGTCCAGCGCGCGCAGCACCTGCAGCAGTGACACGCCAGACTGCTCGATGCGGCGCTTAGTGGCGTCCAGCAGCGCCTGCCGCAGCTCGGGGCGGCGCTGCGCCAGCGCCTGGCGGAGCTGCACCGCCTCGGCCTCCAGCTCCTCGCAGCGCCGCTCGAGCTGCCTGCCCGCCGCGCCCTCGATCGAGAGGCGGCCCGCTCCCTCGCGGCGCAGGCGCTCTACGTCGCCCTCCAGCTCCTTGTTGCGCTTGGCCAAGCGGTCGAAGCGCTCCTGCAGCGAGGCCATGTCCGCCTTCAGCTCGGCCCCCGCGTCGCCGCCGCGCTCCAAGGTGACTTCCGCCCGGCGCCGCAGGTGCCGCTGCAGCTGGCCGTTCTCGTTCTCGAGGGCCTCCAACTGCCGCTCGAGCCTCAGCCGCTCGCGGGCGGCGGCCTCGCTGGCCGGGAGGATGCCGCTCCCGCCCAGGCCCTCGCGGGCCATGGCGGCCTCGCGCGCCTTGGCCTCCGCGAGCCTCTCCTGCACCGAGGCGACGGCCTCCTGCAATTCCCCGACGCGCCTCGTCTGTCCCTCCAGCTGGCGCTGCAGCGCGAGCCGGCCCCGCGAGGCCTTCTCCAGCTCGGCCTCCAAGCGCTCCGCTCGTTGCCGGCTCTCCTCCGCCTCCCGGGCGAGGCCCATGGAGCCAGGCAGCCTCTGTGGCGGGCTGGCGCGAGACTGCCGCCGCCGTGCCTCGACGAGCTCCTCGGCGAGCCTGTCCGCGCGCTCCGCGGCCTCCTCCTGCCGCGCGATCGATTGACAGTGATCCGCCTTCAACATCTCGAAGCGCTGCAGGAGAATGACGTTTGCCTCGTGCGCCTCATCAAGGGAGCCAGGCGTCGCGGTCGGAATGTTCGGCAGGGTAGCTGCTGTCACGCCACCGATGCCCTCACCCTGACCGGGGGGCAGCCGTAGCCGCAGAACGATGTTCTCGTCGCTCAGCGCCGCGACGCGGCGGTCAAGCCGCTGGCACTCCTCCGCCAACGCGTTGAACGCTTCGGTGCCGGCGCCGTCCGCCCCCGCGCGGCTGAAAACGATGCTCAGCACCCGCCGGTAGGCCTGGTTCTCGTCGTGCAGCCGCCGCAGCTCCCCCAGCGCGCCCCCCACGCGCAGGGCCCCGAGCGCAAGGCTCCCCGCCCGCGAGGGGCCCCTGCTGAGGGCCTCCACCTGAGCGCCAAAGAGAAACGGGCCTTACGCGAGGTGACGTGGCGACCTTACGCCGCGGCTTACGCAGGCCGCCAGCGCGGCACGCTGCACTGGAGACGGCAGCGTATACGCGGGCAGCTTACGTGCCGATGTCGGCGCAAACGACCCCCTCTTTCTGTATCGCGCACCTGCCGCTCCAGCTCGGCGGCCCGCTGCTGCGCAGGGCCCTGGGCGGTCTGGGCGGCCAGGGCGTCGCGCCGGAGCCGGATGTTCTCCTGCGTCAGCTCGTCCACGCTGCGCCGCAGCCCTGCCTCGGCCGCGGGGTCCCCTTGCGGCGGCCGCGCGGACGCACTGCGGCGCAGCTCCACGTTTTCCCGGGTCATCTCCTCCATGCTCCGGCGCAGGTCCTCACACGAACGGCGCAGGTCCACGTTCTCCGACGTGAGCAGCTCCACGGACGACGGCAGCTGCTGGGGCTGCTGCGGGCCTTGGCCAGGCAAGGCCCCGGCGGCGGCCGGGAGGGAGGCGGGGTGCGCGCCCCGCCGCAGCTCGTTGTTCTCTCGCACCAGCTCGTCCATGTTGCGGCGCAGCAGCTCCATCTCGGCGGAGGGCGCCGCGGGCTGCCCGCGCCGCAGCTCCACGTTCTCGCGCACGAGCGCGTCCATCCTCGCCTGCAGCTCCGCCGTGCCCGGCGCCGCGGGCGCGGCCGCAACGGCCTGCGAGCCCCTGCGGAGCTCGACGTTCTCCCGGACCAGCTCGTCCATGCTCCTGCGAAGCTCGTCGGCCTGCGACCCGCCGCGCCGCAGCTGGACGTTCTCCTGGGTCAGCTCGTCGACCTTTCGAGCAAGGACCCACCGCCGGGGCATCCCTATAGGCCTGCCACAACAACATGGTCTCAGAACAAGGGAGTGTCAGAATCAGAATCCGATGCCCTTGGAACAGTAAGCCGATGTATCTATAACAAGACGGTGTCAGCTATAGAACTGCTGTAAAGAACAGCTCGTGCAATCCACAAATTCTTAGGACATTATTTGGTGGGCCTTTTAGGCAGATCAGGACGCTTCGCCACTGCTCGAACCTTCGCCTGGACCCCGCTCAGGGCCCTGCGCGCCGCCGCGGCGGCGGTGCGTTCCGCCTCCGCCTGTCGTTCGGCATCCCGCAGCTGCAGCTGCATCTCGCGTATGGACGACAGGTCCTGAAGGCCGTCACACATAGATCCGAGACAATCAAGGAGTTATCTGGTGGGGGGTTATGTTGCTCCCATCGTACTTAAGAACCAGACCCCAGAAATAATTTCGGGCACCCCGAACAGAATCGAAACAATGTCGAACGAGTATCGCCTCCCAGGGCCGAACACGTGAACACCCTCAAGTTTCGGTACTTTTCTTGGTGCTCGATCTTGTTTCTGGCGATCAAAGCTAGAGTAGGTCGGAACATCATAATCCTGAAGGCCGCTGCAAATAGATCCGAGATGGCCGAAGCTATCTGGTGGGGGGTTATGCTGCTCCCATCGAACTTAAGAACCAGGCCCCAGAAATAATTCCGGGCACCCCGAAAATAATCAAAACAGTGCCGAACGAGTATCGCCTCCCAGGGCCGAACACGCGAACATTCTCAAGTTTCGGTACTTGTCTTGGTGCTCGACCTTTCTTCTTGCTGGTGACCAAAGCTAAGAAGTAGGTCGGAACATCATAGTCCTGAAGGCCGCTGCAAATAGATCCGAGATGACCGAAACTACCTGGTGGGGGGGTCGTGTCGGGCCTCGGCGCCTCCACTGCCAGAGGGTGCGCCGGGCGAGCGGGTGCGCTGGCTGGAAAGGGAGGAGGAGGAGGAGGAGGAGGAGGAGGAGGAGGAGGAGGAGGAGAGGAGGAGGAGGAGGAGGAGGAGGGGGAGGGGGAGGAGGAGGAGAGGAGGAGGAGGAGGAGGAGGAGGAGGAGGCGCCCGCCGATGAGCTAACCTTTCCGCGCTGGGCAGCCCCGCGCCTGCCCGCGCGCACCCGTCCTGCTCACCCCGTCTGCGGACCTGCGCAGCCCACGAGGTCAGGTCATCAAAGGAGGGGGGAGGGCCCCCTCCCCCCCTCCCCCCCCCCCCCCCCACTCCTCCTCCTCCTCCCCTCCTCCTCCTCCTCCCCTTCTCCTCCTCCCTCCTCCTCCTCCTCCTCCTCCTCCTCCTCCTCCTCCTCCTCCTCCTCCTCCTCCTCCTCCTCCTCCCCTCCTCCTCCTCCTCCTCCTCCTCCTCCTCCTCCTCCTCCTCCTCCTCCTCCTCAGGGGGAGGCGCGGGCGGGCTAGATAACCCGGGCGATCGCTGGACCCTTGACGATCACAAGACAGCTCGCCGCTCGGGCCCCGCCGCCAGCCCAAAACGGCGAGCATGAATCGGGCGTGGCCCCGCACGCACTCGACTGCCCACACTTCGTCCTCGTACTACTCGTATTCCTCTCCGGCCTCCTCCCCATCCTGATCGTCGTCGTCGTCCTCCTCCTCGTCCTCCTCCTCCTCCTCCTCCTCATCCTCCTCGTCTTCCTCGTCTTCCTCCTGCTTCAGCTCGGTTTCCTATCGGTTGCGCCAAAAGGTTTCGCCCTCGGCGACTGCGAAAAAAACGTCTCCCATCGGTTACGCAATAGCTTGCGCCCTCGGCGGCCAAGAATCAAACCGTCTCCTCTCGGTTGCGCCATAGGTCGCGGCATCGGCGACCGATAATAAAACTATCTCCTGTCGGTTGCTCCATATGTTGTGCCCTGGGCGGCAGATAATAAAACCGTCACGTAGCGGGTGCGACCAGACTGTTCTGTTCAGTTCAGTTCAGTTCAGTTCAATTCAGTCAGTTCCTCGCGAGAAGCAATTTCGGACTACGCCCGAACAAAAACGTCTCCTGCTTCTCCCTCTCGTCCGCGGCCTTCCCCCGGCGCCGCTCGGCCTCCAGGTCGGCAGAAAGGGCCCGGCTCAGCGAGCCCAGCGAGTCCATGCTGCTCTTCAGCACGTCGACCTGCCGGTCGGCGCGCTCTGGGGGCCCGATGGCCAGCTTCATGCGGAAGTCGTCGTTCTCCTGGCACGCTTTTTTGATCAGCGGCCGCAGGGGATCTAGCGGAGCTCGGGGCACGGTGGGGCGCACAGGGGGCAAACTGTGGCACGAGAGGCCAGAAGAGGCGCGCGCGGGCGCGCGGGTAGAGAAGAGGGGGCTGGAGGGGGAAGCTCTCCTGAGACAGGCGGCGCACCTTCGCCTGCAGCGACATGTTCTCTGCCTGCAGCCGCGTGAGGGATGCCTGGAGCTGCCCGCAGCGCATGGCCAGGTCCGCCGACTGGCGCGCGTGCACGTGCGGGCTCGCGGACCGCGCCAGGCGGTCGCCTGGGAGCGTCTGCGTCGGCATCACGCCCGCTCGACCTCAGATGGCCCCCAAAACATACTCCTCCCCTCCTCCTCTCCTCCTCCGCCTCCTCCGCCTCCTCCTCCTCCTCCTCCTCCTCCTCCTCCTCCTCCTCCTCCTCCTACTCCTCCTACAAACATACAACGCGGGGGGCGCGTCTTCCCCTTTTCAAGAGCGGCGCTTCTGCTCGTTCTGGGCGACGCTTTCGTTACGCTCTCAGGCCCGGGACCCGCCCGTGGCCCACCTGCTCGTTGCTTTCCCCTCTCTTGCTATGGTGCTCCTACGTCTTTCGGAGTCTGCCTGACGCCCACATATCGGGGTGCCGTGTTGACGCCGTCAAAAACGAAACAAGGAACACGGAGGAAAAAACGCCTCCAGCGCTGTCAATCACTAACTTATGTAGGGCATGTCCTACAGGCGGCTTTGGAAGAACAGTAAACAGTAACCCGAACGTATCATTTGTGCGGCAATAAAAGCGCAGTAACACATATTTGTGCAATAGCAAAAAAATCGCTGGACAAATAAAATGCTGACTGCCTCGTTTTCGCGATTCCCCCCTGGCGAACGAGCGCGCGCGTATAAGCAGCGCATGGCGCAACAGCAAGCGGACACGTAACCGCATGCCGCTACGAGGCCATCTGAATTTCCAGGCCACTGGCGGCGATCTTATTGCGGACAATCTAGGAACCACCAGGCGAGCGCGCGCGTAGACGCATTGCATGGCGTACCGACAGGCGGAAACGTACAGGCCGCATGTCAAGTGGGAAATCGAACCGGCATCCGCAATTTAGCCATTGGCGGTTCCAGGCCAACATGGCGGCGGCGGTCATTTTGCGGACACTACAGAAACCACAAAGCGAGCGCGCGTGTTGGCGCATTCTATGGCGCACGAGCAAGCGGACACGTATTGGCCGCATGTCACATGGGAGAATCCAATCCACACGAACAAGGGGAAGTCCAATCGGCAACGGCTCAGGGGCCAACCACTTGAGTTGCCGGGCCAACATGGTGGCGATTCGATTGCGGACATTGCAGGAACCGCCAAACGGGCAAGCGCATTGCATGGCGCACCAACAGGCGGACACGTACTGGCCGCACGGCAAAGAGATAATCAATCGCCAGCCCGCAATGGGCCACTTGAATATCCAGACTAACGCAGCGGCGATCGCATTGCGGACAATACAATAATCACCAAACGAGCGCGCGTAAACGGATTGCTTGGCGCACCAACGGGCGAGCATCTACAGTCCGCGCGTCAGGTGGAAAATCAGATTGGCAACCGCTAAGGGAGCCACTGGAAATTCCAGGCCAACGTGGCGGCGATCGTGTTGCGGACAAGATAGGAACCACCATGCTGGCGCGCACGCGGGCGCATTGCATGGCGCAAACGCAGGCGGGTACGTACAGGCCGCTAAAAAAGCTGTTTCAATTTCTGGATCAGCACGGCGGCGATCCGACTGCGGCGAATAAACAAATTACCACCAAACGCGCGCGTTGACACATTTTATGACGAAGCAACGGGCGGACACGTACTGGCGGCATGCTAAAAGGGAAATCCAAGCGGCAACCGACAAAGAGCAATTTGAGTTTCCAGGTCAACGCGGCGGCGATCCTATTGCGGCCAGGATTGGGACCAATAAGCGATCGCGCGCTGGCGCATCGCGCGCTCGCGCCGAGGGGCCACTTGAGTCAGCAAGCCAGCATGGCGGCGAGCCAGTGCGCGCGTAGGCGCACAGCATGACGCACCAACAAGCGAACGCGTACACGACGCATGTCAAATGGAAATCCAACTCGCAAGCGCTGAGAGGCCACTTGAGTTCCCAATCCAACATGGCGGCGATCATACTGCGGATTATGTAGACACCGCGATGCTGGCGCGCGCGCGCGTGGGCGCATTGCATGGCGCGCGCACAAGCGGATGCGGACAGGCCGCATGGTCAACGTGGAATCAAAAACGGCAACCACCAAGAAGCCCCTTGAATTTCTGAGCCAGCATGGCGGCGATCCTATGACGGATGGTGCACGAAGCACCGAGCGCACGCGCGGACGCGGCGGCACACTTTACAGCGCAACTACAGGCGGACACGCACGGGACGCATGTGAAAAGGAACATGCAATGGGCAACCGCTCAGACTGCATCCCACTGCATTCCTCTAAGGTTCTCATATCTCTCAAATGTTTCTCTGGATTAGGGGGTTGGGACACGCAAAGGCGCCACGAGGCGCCGAGAAGAAGCCCGAGAGGGGCCCCAGAGAGGCTGAAGAGGAGCTCAAGAGAAGTCTAAGAAAGGCTCGAGAGGGCTCCAAGAAAGCTCCCAGAGAGCAACCCAGCAGTGGCACCCAGGAGGGCCCCTTGGGCGCCACTGTCAGAAGGCGCTCTTGAGGCGTTCTTGGGCTTCTCCCGGGAGCCTTTCGGAATCTTCTGAGGAGCCCAAGAGGAGCCCAAGAGCAGCTAGTTGGCCCTCTTGGAACCATCTTCGAGGCGTCTTAGAGCCCTCTCGAAAACCCCATCCGTGTCCAAAAGAAACCCAAGAGCAGCTGGGAGGAGCCCAACAACACTCCAAGAGGACCCGAAGATGGCACCCCGACAATGGTACCCACGAGCCCCTCTTGGGTGCCACTCGGGTGGCCTTTTGGGGGGCCTCCTGGGGTCCTCTTGGGCCTCCTCTGGTCTACTCTCGAGGCCCCGTTGGGCTTCTCTCAGAGCCCTGGTGGGGCCGATCTGGGAAACCGGACAGAGCAAGGTGACCGAGAAACTTTCTCAGCCGCCCGTCGGGCCGCTAAGATCAACCGCGCGCAGCTGATCTCATAACTGGATATCGTTTCACCGACCCCTATCCCCACTGGCATGGCCCTCGTCCCACTGAGCGATTTACCCCCCCACACGGTGGGATGTATGCCGTCTCCCTCGGATTTCAGAGGGTAAATCCTTACCTTGGCGGCGGGGGGAAAGGTAGGTTGGTAGGAAGTTCAGTGGGGGTTGGGGTCGGTTAGCCGGTACTGGATAACCTCCGCCGCGTTCCCTATCCTTCCCACACCACCCCCGACGTCGCGATTCTTTCCCAACGGCGGCCCTGGATGTGTGAACCTCTTCCCCGGGATCAGCTCTATCCGGCTTCATTATCCTGAGCTGTTTGTTCGCTCCAGAAGACCAATGAGGGATTGTGTAGCCTGAGAACGGCCGAAAACATTCCGTCATCGTCGTCGCCCGTGGGGGCGGCCTCATGAACCCAAGTCCCAGAAGCCCTTTTCCGAACCTGAATGGTGGGAATGTCTCGGAGGCTGCTTTCGGCGTTCCGTCGTCGTCGTCGTCGTCGCCCATGTGAAGGGCCTGATGAGTCATGCTCCCGGCAAACCTTCAGGGGACATGATTTCCGGGAGTGTCTTGGGGGCCTGCTTGGGGCGTTCCGGCGTTGTCGTCGCCTATTGGGGAGACCTTTTGAAGGCGCAAGGAATGATGTCCCCGGAAGGCTTATTGGCAAAATGAATGTTGGACATGTCTTGAAGGGCTGCGTGGGGCGTTCCGTCTTCATCATAGCCTCTTGGGAGCCATGTTGCGGGCCTGATGAATCATGTTCCTGGCAGGCCTTCTAGGATTATGATTTTTGGGCGTACTCCTTCCTTGGAGGGCTGCTATGGCGCTGCGTCAATGGCGTCGGCCATGCCTGGGGCCTGACGAATCATGTTCCCACAAGGACTTCTGGAAGCATGATCTTTGGGAATGTCTTTGGGGGCTGCTTGGGCCGGTCCGTCGTCGTCATCGTCGTCGTCGCCTCCTGAGGAGCCATGTTAGGAGCCCGATGAGTCATATTCCCGCAAGGACTGCTGGGAACATGAATTGTGGGAATGGCTTGGGGGGGCCTGCTTGGGGCGTTCCGTCGTCGTCGTCGTCACCCATGCTGGGGCGTTCCGTCGTCGTCGGCCACCGATTATCGCGTACTTAAAAAAAAACTGGGCGGGAAACCTGTGAAAGACCGAAGAGGACGAGGAGGAGCAGGCAACGAGGGGGAGAAGAAGAGCAGGAAGATGGTGCATTCAGGTGATATTGCAAATATCGTCATCCGATGGACCCCCTCCTGGTCCCTCCGGGGCCTCCCCATGGCCGCTCGAAATATCTAAGGGCCTTCGGCCCATCCTGCCTCTTGTAAGCAGTTTCGAAACCTCTCGGGGCCGGTTCTGTCGGCCTCTTGGGGCCCCTTGGTGGCCTCTTGGGGCTTCTTGGGAGTCTCTTGGGCCCTCCTGGGAATTGATTATTCGGGCGGAATGCCGGAATTTTCGGTTCGTTGTCCCCCTCCTGGGTCCCTCTTCGGGCCGCCTTGGGGCTCTCTTAAGCCCTCTTGGGCGCCTCTTGGGCCGTCTTGGCGCCCCTTTGGGCCGTGTTAGGGGCCTCTTGGGAGCCCCTGGGGCCGTCTTGGGGTTACATTGGGGGCCTATTGGGCCTCGTCAACGCCGTGAAAGCCGACAAATCGCATTTGCTGAAAATGCAAGTTTCCCTTTGACAAATCAATGATTTGGTGCTCTTGGGGCCCTGTGGGTAAGCCTCTTGGGGGCCTTTTTGGACGTCTTGGCGGCCTGTAGGGCTCTCTGGGAAGCATATTGGGCGTCTTGGGGCGATCAGTCGACGAGTGGTTGCCGTCGTGGACCACGCTGGGCACGTCTGGGGGGGGGATCTTGGCGCGTCTCGGAGCCGCCCGGGCCTCCTCCCGAACGGCTCCGGCGAGCCGTGGACCATATGCCAAGTCGAAGCGCCGGCCCGGGAGATGTTCTGCATTCTGGGCGCTGCAGAAAGCTCGGCGCACTCGCGCGGGGGTGGCCACTGTCACCCGCGCGCTCCGTGCGCGCGGGGCGTTCTGAATTGCCCATGATACAGGAAGCACAACGGAACCGATGTTAACCTGTAGATCTGGTCCAATCGGCCACCGCTATGCTTCAACTTGGGTTGCCACGCTAACGCGGAGACCCCCAATTTCTGCGCGACGCACTATGCTCCACGCGCGCGCGCAAGCGACCACGGCCACGAGCCCGCGCCCGCACGCGGGGAGCGTTCTGTCTCGTCCGGAGTAAGAGGACATACAATTAGATGCGTGTCAACTCGGAAAGCCAGTCGGCCGCCGCGAAAGATTCGCTCGCGTTTCCAAGCCACACTGGGCGCATTTTTCCTGGACAGCGCGCGCGGCTCCACGCGCGCGCAAATAACCGCGATCACGCTCGCGCGTCCGCGAATGGCGGGGAGGGGGAGGGCGTTCTGTGCGATTCATTGTGAACTTTAAAGCCAATGGCAACTTCGAAATCCAACCGGCAGTCGCGAAGAATTTGCTTGAGTTCCCAAGCCAACAGGACTACATTGTGTCTTGACCATATGCAATGATCCACGCGCGCAGGCGCCCAAACAACCCTGGTCACCAGCCCGCGCCCGCATGCGCGGGTCGTTCGGCCTGGCCCATTGCAGAGGCAACACAGCTGAACTCATGTTCGCTTGGAAATCTAGTCGGCCAGCGCGATGGTTTCCACTGCGTTCCGAGGCCAACGCGGAAACGATACTGCCCGCGCGCGCCCCGGCGCGCGGGGGGGCTTGCATTGCTTAGGCAAGAGGGCGCGCAGCAGAAACCGCGTGAACTCTGAGATGCAACATGCCAACGCACAGGGTTCACTTGCGTTCCCAAGCCAACGTGGCGACTGTTCCACGTTGGTCGATGCGCAATGCTCCACGCGCGCGCGCGGGTGACCATGGTGACGCGCGCGCCTCCGCGCGCGCGGGACCTACCGCGCGCGCGCAATGGAGAACATCTAACAAGCCCGATGCGAACTCGGAAACCGAAGCGGCCCAAACAGAAGGATCACATGACATCCCAAGCCAATGCGGCGACTCTTATATTCTGGGCAGTACGCAATGCCCTGCGTGCGCGCGAAGCAGTCTGCATCGCCAGCACGCCGAGCCCACTTTAACTCGGGGCCCCATTCGGTCACCACTGAGCATGCGCCTGCGCTGCAGGGCCAACGTGACGACTTCCTGCTTCTGGACAAAGAGAACAATCGCGGGCTGCTGGTCGAAAGGGGCCCGCGCAGCGCTCGGGGCGGCCTGGCGGGGCGGCCGCAGGCGCTCGCAAGGGGGAGGAACATGAGGAGGATGAGGAGGATGATGATGAGGAGGATGATGATGATGAGGAGGAGGAGGAGGAGGAGGAGGGGGAGGGGCGTCACGCTTCGAGACGGCCCCGCGGCAGGCTGCTGCCAGCAGCCCCGCGCGCGCGGAGGCGCGAACGGGCCGCGCGCGGCGGCCTCGCTGTCTTCTCGGGCGGCCGCCAGTGCGCGGCCGACCGCGCGGCCGGGGCATCCTTCGACCTTCTTCCCCTTCGGGGGGGGGGGCGCCCCCGACTTGGACCTGGGCGGGCCTCTCGCGAGGGGCTTGAACGCCCGTGATGGCCTCGGCGAGACGGCCAGCATCGTTGATTGCACTTTGGCATTGGCCACATGTCGGCCTCCTGGGCGGGGGGGGCTCTGGAACTTCCCGCCCCCGTCATCGATCGCCTCCAAGATGGCCCCGCGATGGCCCCCGAGGCTCCGCGGGGCGCCCCACAGCGGTCCGAATGCATGCTCGCGCGGCCCCGAGACGCCCCCGCGAGGCCCTCAAAATGCGCCCGGGAAGCCCCGATCGGCCCCCCGGGACGCGCCCGAGGCGCCCCAGGGGAGCCCCGCGACTGCCAAGAGGCCCCCCGCTCGAGGCCTCCAAGAGACCACCGGGGGGGGACCTCCGAAACGGCGTGAGGGGCGCTGCATCCTCCGACCTCTTTCGTTTTCCTTCTGCTCCGGCGGGCGGCCCGCCGGGCCCCTCCCCCCCCGCCCTCTCCTCCCGGGCCTGGACGGGGAGGGGGCGCTGGGGGGCGGGGGCAGGCGGGGAGCGGGGCAGCCGGCCGAATGAATCCAACCGCAGGAAATTAACCACCAGTTCAACAAGAAATCCAAAAAGTGACCTCCAGCATGCCGAAATGCCTTTTCAAGGTGACCCCCGATGGCCTCCAAGATGCACCCAAGAACCATTGAAATCGCCCCCGAGCGGCTCCGAGTGGCCGTGGAGCCCCTCAGTGAGACGTCCAGAGAATCCACATCGGCCCGCGACTTCAAAGAAACGCATGATGTTTGCATGATCGAGGTTCCGCTTCCGACGAGCCACCGAGCCTTCAACGCGGCTGCGACATGGCCCAAGAAAGCTCCGAGAAGGGCCCGCGAGGGCTCCGCGACGGCCCCAACTCGCCCCAAGACACCAGTTCGGGGTTCTAGAACGGCAGAGATGTTAGGAGGCGCCGCCCCTCACAATTGATCGACACCCCCCATGGACCCCCGCCCCAAAAGTCCCCCGGGTGCCCAGACAGGCCTCGCGGGGGCGCCGAATGTTTCCAACGTTCCAACATCTCCCCGAGAGGCCCCCCATGGCTTCCGGCCCGACGTTGACAGGGCCCGCATGCGACTGAAGCAGCCTGCGAGAGTACCCCAAAAACATGACACCAACAAAACCGTGATGGTTGACAGCTGCTGCCGTCGCGGTCGCCCCCGTGCCCCCACAAAACCCACCCTTCATCTTCATCCTCCTCCCTCTGCTTCGACGCCATCGTCCTCCTGTTCCTCTTGTTCCTCGTGTTCATACTCCTCCTTTTCCTCCTTCTCCCCATCCTGCTCCTCCTCCCCCCCGCCCCGCCCCCTCTGCTCCTCCCCCCTCCCCCTCGCGCCCCCAATCTTCCTCCCCCCCCGCCCTCCTCCTGCTCATCCGTAGCCAGTTCAGTTCCAGCGACTTGGGCTCCAGCTGCAGCGCATCAAGGCAGCTGGTCTGGTCAGCCTCCACGGGCCTGTCTGGTGGAGCAGCCCGCGACGCACGCTCGCCAGGCAACGTCTTCCCTTTCAGTGAGCTCCTCCCAATGCTGTAGGCGATCCGCGCTCGCGCGTGCAGCGCCTGGAAAGACGCCTCGGCGCGGCCGCGAGGGTGGCGCCCGCCTCCACGGATGGCAGCATGGGGCCCGGCGACGGCGCCGCTCCCTGTGCCCAGCGCCGTCGGGGCGCCCGCCGGAGCGTGCGGAGTGCTGCCCAATCCCAAACGCGGCGGCCAGTAGAGAACACCCTCCCCCAATGGAGCCTTGGAAACCCGTAGGAGAGAAGCACGAGGAGAGGGCGACGGGAGAAACGGGCCACGGTCACAACACACTGCTCGGGCGGTTGGGCCGCGCGCCGAAACAATGAAAATGCAGGGGCTTGCATCAGCAAGACCGCTGGCGGTTTTCCAGAAGGAGCTCGTCGAAGTGCGAATGCCCTGCGCAGTCTAGTCGCAGCGCCACGCTATCCACGCCGCGATGATAACGCGCGGCCGGTCCTCATTGTGCACGTTGCGCAAACCACATCGCCAAACAGTCACGCCTCGGTTAAAACGCGACAGCACGCGCTGCTTACACCAAAAGCGGCGAACCAAACAATGGTGGTGCAACGTGGCACAGCATGTTCTCCAACCACGTTTATAGTATATTCGCTCAGACAATATCTGGAAGACGATCTCTATACTACTTTCATTGTTACCGGCATGGCACGAACAATAGTTACCATACTATTTGCTTGACTACGAGGGACATGCACGACGTACAACTAAGCGCTCGGCCTCTCTGCCGCGGGGTCGCCTGGAACTCCTCGCCGCCCCCGGCGCTGGTGCGCGCGGGGTGCCGCACGTGCGCCAGTTCCAGCTGCACCGCGAGGTCCTTGACCTACAAGGCCGCCAAATATACACCTTCGCCGATCCTGGCCAAGCTCAACCCTGGGCCCAGGATCGGCACATACGCCCTCCTGGCTTCCTCCTCCCTCCTCCTCCTCCTCCTCCTCCTCCTCCTCCTCCTCCTCCTCCTCCTCCTCCTCTCCTCCTCCTCCTCCTCCTCCCTCCTCCTCCTCCTCCTCCTCCTCCTCCTCCTCCTCCTCCTCCTCCTCCTCCTCCTCCTCCTCCTGGAGCATATACACCAACTCTGGGCGCAGGATCGGACTGGCCGGGGTCGGTGCAGGTGCACAGCTGGTGCCCTCCGGTGACCTGGCCCTGCAGGCGCTCCCTGGCCCTGACCTCCAGGCGGAGCTGCTCCTTGTGACGGGGGGGCGCTAACGCAGGGGGGGGCCGCTCAGGGGACGCACAGCCTGGAGGGGGAACGTTCGAGGCACCTTCGACGCTCGACGGGGGGAGGGGAGGGGGCAAACGCTCGAGGCTCGAGGGGGCAGGGGAACTGGAGCGTTCAGGGTCCAGAGCTCGCTCGAAAAGCTCGGAGCGGGCGAGGGGGAACGCCCGAGGTGCGAGGTTTTCTGACGTTTTCGTCGGTCCTCGGCGTTTCTCAAGCACCGGCGTGCTCTGCAGCGGCTGCGCCTCGCCAGGAGCTCGCGGGGGGCTCCCGGCACGTCCCGAGCGGCTGTCGGAGGCCCGAGCCGCGAAAACCGAAGACCACCGGGGGACCGACTCGGGCGGGGGAACCTTTGCCCAGACTCGGCGATACCTCGCCGACAGATCGGCGAGAGGATCTCGGTGGCGACACCAGCGATTCCTGGGCGGGGTGGGCTGTCGGAACCCTGTCGGCGACGAACGGCCGCTCGGGGCTCGATGCGTCCCCTCCTGAGCCTCCCCCCCCCCTTCGGTGCTCGGCGTCTGGTTATCGGGTCATAGCTCGGGTCTCCGGCGGCCGTTCGGGACGATCTGGGCATCGCTGGATGCCCGTCCGGCGAGGCGCAGCTGCTGGAATGCATCCCGAGGCAGGACAAGCCCCAGGGACAGACGAAAAAACGTTCGAAGACCTGCTGAAATTAGCGCTGGGGGTGCTAAGGGGACAGGGAGACTAGATTTGGAGTCCAAGGTGGTCTTTTCTGGCCTAAGCTGGCTTAAAAGTAGGCCCAAGTGCCAAAAGTAGTTCAGGGTGATGCGGCAACTCGGCGCAGGGGGTTATGCCCACTTAGACCAGATCTGCCCCCCACTAAACCATTTGGGGCACTCCCATTCCACTGATAAACCAAGCTTGGCCAGACATCCCACCCCCATCATCCGCTTCTATCCTCAAAGGCTAAACGATTCCTGCCGTCCTTCGACTCGCGCTAGAGCGGCCGCAATTTGCTCCAACTGTCCCTGAAGGTCTCTGGATTTATCTGAATTTACCCGGATTTGACCTGGACCTGCCCGGATTTACCAGCACCTACCTGGATATACCTGCATGTATCTGGATGCATCTGGCTCGACCCCCACGAGTCGATTGGCGAACAGTCGTCAAGCCCTCAGGGATTCGAACCCCCCCCGTCCCCTCAGCAACCCAGGCGGCCATCCGAGTCATGCTGCCCCTGACCTTTCGGTTACACGCAAGAGTGACCCTGGGTAAGAGTGACCTTTGGTGCGCGGCTTTTTGGGGGCCGCGGGCGAGCCAAACCTGGGCGCGCAAGCCGCTGCTCCTGCTTCGTTTTCAGCCATCTGGGGACCCATCTGTGCCCGCACCAAAGGTCACTCCGGTGAAAGGTCACTCTTACGTCTAGTCGAACCTTCGCCTCCGCAACCGCGGCAAACCCCTCGCCCGCTTGCGGCTCTGCGCCGACCGGCGGGCTGCCGCGGGCGCTCTGCGGCGCCGCCGCCGCCGCGGCGCCCGCGGTGCTGCCGCTCGAGTGCTCGGACCTGCGCAGCAGCGCGGCGGCCTCGAGGCCCTGGAGCTTGGCGCTCAGCTGGTTGCGCTCCGCCTCCAGGGCGTCGATCCTGTCGTGCAGGGCCGCCGCCCTCCTGGCGCGGGACAGGAGCCCTCAATCCCAGACCACCTCGGGTCATGAAGAAACGATGGCGGGCACGATCTGTTTTTTGTGATGCTCGGCCTCTGGGGACCCTCACCAGGCCTGGGGACCGTCAAGAAGCTTCCAGGATGAAAAACCGGTCCGGGATAAGGGGTCGAGATCTCTGGGGGTCGAAATCATGGAAAAAGCATGACGTCAAGGGTCTGGGGAAACCCTAAATTTCGCCGCAGCAAGTAATGTTGCCTTGGGTCGGGCCCCGAGACCCTCACGCGTCGATCCAGCCCGAAACATGCCGCAGAAAGGCGGGATCCACGGCTGGGGCCGTTCTTCCGCGATGCGATCTTTTTCGTGACTTCGGAGCTCAGTGAAGATGCGGCGACATCGGCGACGTACTACGTGCACGCAAGAGTCGCCCTATCGGCACAGGTGACCCGTGATGCGCGGCCTGCCGGCAGTGATGACGCGATGCGGCAGATGGCGGCCTGCACGCTGGGACTCGGACCCCACGCGATGGAGATCCTTCGTTACCCGGGCAACGGTAACGCTTGGGCGGGACGGGGTCCGTCGGGGTGTGGGGGGCGCGCCACGACCGCAACAGCATGCGCCCGAGCAGCACCCTGCGCCTGCGAACACACCGGTGGCCTGCGATTCGACCACGAACGCAAAGGGTGTTAGCACCGGAAGAGCACATCCGAGCAAGGTCCCGCTGGCTGCTCCCCAGGCAGACCTCTCCCAGGGCGACCTCCGACCAGGACCTCGAGAAGAACCCAAACATCCTCCACCGTATTTTTGTTGTCCAGGTCGTGACTCCCCAGAGGTCTGGAGCCCTTTCCCGGGACCTAGCTGTTTGTCCCAAGCAGTGTCTGGCGGCCCCGAGGCCCGAGGAGGGCCCCGGGAGATCGGAAGTGGGCAGCACAGACGCCGTCCTGCCTGCTCTCGCAACGAGAGGGCGTCAGCGAACCCTCGCCGGGGCGACGAGGGCTCTCCAGGTCGAGTAGCGGAGCAGCAGCCGCTCCGGTGGCAACGCTCGTCGACGCCACATGCGGGCGCTTTCTCACCGACGGACACACGCCAGCGCACGCGAATGCGCTCTAGAAATGGAACCGCGAAGGCACACGAGGCCCCAATGGTTTGCTGCCACACGCACCCTTCCTCCCTCCGCTCTGGCTCCTCGCGCTCGCCTCCGCGGCCTCGCGCGCCTCGCGCACCAGGCTCTCGGCCTCGTCCTTGTAGGCGTTGTTTTGTTTTCTTAATTCGGGGTCTCGACAGTTGGCCGAAGTGTGGGGGAGGGAGGGGGGGGTGTGGGCGTGGGCCAGTGCCAAGTCGATCTGCTTCTACCAGTCGAGCAAGCAGACTGGGTGGGGAGGGGGGGTGCTGACAACTCGCCCACAGCAGCCGTCCAAAGCAGCCAAGATCTGCTCTAAGGGGTGGGGGAGGGGGGGAGGGAGCGGGGGCCCGCGCCGATCGGTTAGGAAAGCCCAGAATGGAATCGATAAGTCGGATGGGCGGTCGAAACGAATCGGAGGCGGAAATCGGCAGCCAAGTCGGGAGAAGTCGGATCGGCGGACATCGGCAAGCTGGCAAGCAGCCCATCGAGGACTCGGAGCCCGAACCGGAATATCCCCAAGCCGCAGCGCATCGGAAACGCGGACGCCATCGAAGCGCCGCACCGAACCATGGCCGAATCCAAAGAGCGAGCCCCGCCGGCGAAGCCGTGCATGCACAAACGGCGACCTTCTGCAGGGCGCGGTGCGTCGCCAGCGCCTGCTCCGCCTCCTCCGCCCGGCGCAGCTGCGCCAGCCGCGCCTCCTGGGCGCGCCGCGCCTCGCCGGACTGCTCCTGCAGGCGCGCTGCGGCCTCGTCCAGCAGCGCCTCCAGCTCCCTCTCGCGGGCGCCGCTCTCGGCGCCCTTCGCCGCCTGGCAGGCGCCGCCGCCGTCGCCGTCGGGAGGTCGGCTCGGATCGGGCCGCGCAGTGCTCGAATCGGGTCTCCTGCACGGTCTGGTCGGGCTCCGCCTGGCCTCCTCTCTCGTCCTCCTGCTCCTCCGCTTCGTGCCCGCATCGGCTGCCAGTGCAGCCCGCCGCTCGCTTTGACCGGCGCCTGACCGTCCCGCACACCCTGGCGCCCGCGAACTGACAACATCGGATCGGGCCACGTCGGCGCGGAGTCGGAATGGAACCGGATGGGCGGCGCCAAGAGAGGAATAGAACTATGCACATACACCGATTCTGGCCAGGCCCATGCTGAGCCCAGGATCGGTGCATACGCCCTCTACCTTGGTCAGGAAGGTATATGCACCGATCCTGGGCCTTGCCAGGATCGGTGCATGTGTATAGTCTGGCCATCGCTCGGACGTCCATTCCCTGTGTTTTTGTTCGGTTTCGTGCGTGGCTTTTTCGCCAAACGATCAAGGATGCTCCTCGATGGTCTTCGCCAGAGGAAAAGTGCACACGTCCGAGCGATGCCAGGTAGTTCTCTCCGCCCGAGCCAAGATGCACGACAGCGCCACGCAGGCACCGGGCCGCATAGGATCGCCCTCCTCCTCCTCCTCCTCCTCCTCCTCCTCCCGAAAGTCGGAATCGGATCGGCTCGGAGCGGATGGACATGGGCCCTGGCCTGGTGCCCCACCGCGGCCTGCTGCTCCTGCAGCTGCCGCGTCAGGCGGACGACGTCCTCGCGCAGGCTGCCGACCTTGTCGGCCTGGGCGTCCATCCGCCTGCGGGACTCCTCAGCCGCCCTCCTCGCGTTGTCGCACTCCCTGTCGTTCTTCTCCTTCGCCACGGTGATCTCCACGACCTTCTCCTTCAGCCCCTCGATGGCCTTCTTGAAGCCCTGCAGCTCCTCCTCCTTGGCGGCCAACTTCCGGCGCAGGGACGTCTGCTGACGCTGCTGCGAGGAGGCGCGGTAGCGCTCCTGCTCCAGGGCCCTGCCCCGGCGCTCCTCCTCCAGCTCGCCGAGCGCGGCCCGCAGCTGCTCGCGCAGCTGCGCGACCTCCACCGTCAGGTGGTCCACCTCTGCGCGCCGGGACTCCGCCTCCTGCTGGTGCTGGGCGCTCACTGCGCGGTACCTGTTGACCGGGCTCTCCGCCTTCCGGAGGGCCTCGTCCCGGATCCTGGGGGTCCAGAATTGAGGGATGAAAAAACGACCCTACCCTGGGTTACCAGTGCGTGGTCTGTAAACCTCCTGGGAACCCTCAAAGCCTAGAACCGCCAGGACGCGGCACATCACGCAGGGTTTACCCTGTCAGCCCACAGGAGTTTCAGCGCACAGCGCCTCGTGAACCAGGGTAGGGGCGTTTTTTCTGCTCTTGACAGAAAAGTGTTCGGCTGTTCTTGTTTCTACTGCTTGGGGAAATCTTCCAACCTCGGGGTGCTGTTCAGAACCTGCGACTCGACGAAAACTCTCCCCAGAATGCCCGGATCGTCCCGGGCGGCCGCCATAGGCCCGAGCTACGACCCGAACACCGCCGGTCCTCTGCGCCTCCGACTGGAACCTCTGGGCGTTGGACTGCATCTGCGACTGCAGCCGCTGCGCGTCCGACTGGACACGCTGCGCCTCCGACTGGTGCTTCTCCGCGATGCGGCGGAGATCTCGGAACTCGCCACGGTTCATGCTCTCGAAGCGCTCGTACTCGCTGCGCTGCGCCTCCATCTGCTGCATGAACATGTCCTGCTGCTGCTGCATGGCCTGTGCGAAGTCTTCGCGCATCCGCTCCATCTGCTCCTCCAGGTCGCGCTCGCGCTGCCTCATGTAATTCATTCGCTGATCCAGCGCGGTCATGTGCTCCCCGTGGGACTCCAGCGACATGGAAGCCTCCAGATCGATGGAAGCGGCTCCGAGGGGCGACATGGCTGTGGCTGGCATCAAGAATTCAGGGCCTGCGAGCTGCAACTGGTTCCTCTCCTCACGCAGCTGAGCGATTTCCTGTTCCAGCCTCTTGACGTGGTCGCTTGCTGCGTCCTTCTTTTGCTTCAGCACCTCTGCCAGCTTGGCCTGGTGCTCGTCGGCGCGTTTCTCCGCCTCCTGCAACAAGTCCTGCAGCGCCTTGATGGACTCCTGGGCCGCCCCAGTGATCTGCCCGATCTCGTTCTCATGCTCGTCCCTGAGCGCCTCCCGAAGGCGCATTGTGTCGCCCTGGCTGACAGCATCGAGCTCCCGTGCCAGCTTGCGAATCTCCAGCTCCTTCTCTCCCAACGCGCGATCCTTTTCAACCTTGACGCTCTCCAGCTGCGCCTCCAGCTCCTGGACCTTCTTTTCCTTTTTCAGGAGCTGGTCCTGTGAAAGGCAACGATCGGGGCGGACACACGACCTCAGATCGGCGCCCACGATAGCGAATTCGAGCGCTCGTGCGTGGGCTATCAGACCTTCATGGGCAATCACTGTGGCGATTGGGGGATGATGCGCCCCCACCTGAGCCCCTCCCCCCCCTCAGTGGTGTTCGACGTCTGGTCCTCGGACCATCGGGTCTCCATTGGCCGTTCGGGACGATCTGGGCACACCTGGACGCCTCCCGGCGAGGGGCGGCAGCTGGACAGCACCCCGAGCCTGGAAAGCCGGTGCGAACAGACGAAAACATCCGAAAACCTCGAGCCTCAAGGCCGAAATCGCTGCCCCTGATCCTGCTCTTGCTCGAGGGCCTCCACCTTGGCGCCGCTCCTGGAGAGGGAGGCACGCCTGGCGCCGTCCGCGCCCGCGGCCGCCGCGGCCGGCGCGCTGCCCGCCTCCAGCGCGAGCTGCTGTAGCCTGAGGACCTCCTGGCGCCACCGCTCGCCCTCCTTCGCCATCTTCGCCTCTGGATATATGTTGTTCCCATCCTACTTAAGGCACCCTGAAAAGTGTCAAAAGAGTGTCGAAACAGTGTCGAAACAGTGTCGGGAGAGTGTTTCCCAGGGCCCGACACGTGAAAACCCTTGAGTTTCGGCACTTTTTGGGGCGCTCGAAATTCTTTCTTGTGATCAAGGCTAAAGTAGGTTAGAGCATCATAACTTTGGATCGAGAGTCAAACTACATACTGTGACGGAGCTACTACTGTAATGTTGCGTTCTGTTACTAGGCGTCCTGTGGTGCCCTCGTTCTGAAAAGACAGCGCCCCGCGTCCGCCCTCCTTCTTCCTCCTCTCCCCTCCTTCCATCCCTGCGTCTGCCCTCCGCATGCCCGCATCGTCATCATCGTCGTCATCGTCATCGTCATCGTCATCGTCATCGTCATCATCATCATCATCATCATCATCATCATCATCATCATCATCAACATCATTATCATCATTGGCATCATCGTTGTCATCATCATCACCACAACCGCCACCACCAGCATTATCAGCATCAGCATCATTATGATGATCATCATCGTCATCATCATCATCATGAGCATCCTCACCATGATCCTCATAATCATCATCTTCACCATCATCATCACCTCCATCATCAGCATCACCATAATCATAATACTCATCATCAGCAGCAGCATCAGTATCAGCATCAGCATCATTATAGCGTTGGAGGAAGCCCAGCAAAAAGGGCCACCTGCGAGGCCGTCCTTCTGGAGCGGCGCCAAACGGAGATCATTGCGATGGGGGCTGATCAAGGACTTGGCGCACGCTCCATCGGGGTTTCGGCAGACTGCCGAGGCAACGTTGCCATCATGCATCGCCTTCGGGCATCGGCCAAGCATCGGCGCCTTGTCCTTATCAGCGTGCACGCACCTGCGCAGCAGGCGCCACCACGGGAGCGGGAGGGCTTCATCGCCAGCCTGGACTCCTCCTCCTCCTCCTCCTCCTCCTCCTCCTTGTCCTAGTCAACTGGGTTGACTACGTGATCGCGGGTGACTTCCATGCCCGGCTCGGCCCTTTCGCTTCGCCAGGCGCGGGGACTTCTTCACGGGACCAGGAGAGCGAGTCGGGTGCGCGCCTGCGTGAGGCAGTGGCCGAATTCCACACGGATGTGGTCAGCACGACGGGGCAGGACCGCCGACCGAGGTGGCAAGCGACCTCGGGGCACCTGCACCGCATCGGCGATCTGATACTGTTCAAAAATGCTGCTTCCACCGCCAGGGACGTGCACACGCACTTGAGCGACGATCGAAAAGGGGGGCTTACGCGAGATGACGTGGCGATGCCACACCGCGGGTTACGCGGGCCGCTGGCGCGGCACGCCACATTGGAGACGAGGGCGCTCATGCGCGACATTACGCGGGCAGTTTACGCGCGAATGTCGGCGCGAACGACCCCGTTTGCTTGCGTCGCTAAACTGGAGATTGACATGAGTTTTGCCACCTCCGTCGGCCACTGGCCAGCCAGCGCCTCCCTGGTCGTCAACAAGCGGTACCGGCCCCGCGAAGCAAAGACCCCACACATTTGCAGAGCCAAGTTGAAAGACCCACAGCTGCAACTTGCACTGCAGCAGCGGCTCTGGAATCATAAGGTCGCACTGCGGGACCGCCCGCACGAGAAATTGCAACAGCTGAACCAGACCATGGCAGAGATAATTCAGGACATCATTGCAACAACTGGTGACGCAACCCGCAAGCATTGGATTAGCCAGCGCGCGTGGCAGCTCATGCAGCGCGCATGTATGTTGACGGATGCCCTACGCGATGCTCGTTGGCACTGCCAGAGCGCGCGCCCTGCTTGGATATCGCACAGTGTGTCGAGTGCACCACAAGATGACGAGCACCGTGATGGACTCCATTACGCCCAACTTCGCCGCGCTCGAGGTGCGGAAGCCCGAGCACTGCATCAGCTGCGACTCGCCCAAGCTGAGAAAGCCAAGGCGCTAGTCGCTGATCGTGAGCACCAATGGACTACCCTGGCTTGCGAGCCGACCAAGCGGCAGCAGATGGAGATCTCCGCAAGACCTACTCGACCGTCCGTTGACTTGGAGGTTTCTCCCCGTCCGCTTTGCCAAACACTCGCTTGGCCAACCGTGAGTATGCAGCTTCTGAGGCGCAGGCGCAAGAGCAGTGGGAGACCTTCGCCGAGCTCCTGACTGGCGGCTTGCAACAGGACGTCCCGCAGCCAGCGGCTCCTCCCTGCACGACCCGCAACTTGTTCGCGACGCCTTTTACTGAAGTGGGCGACGTGCGCTGCAGAGTGAGCCAGCTCCTCCGGGCTATCGAGGACAACAAGGATCAAGGGGCCTCAGGACACACCAATGAATACACACACACACAAATAGCAGGATTCCCCATATTCTCCCATACTTTCTGGGTTTCTCTCTTCCCCCCCCACTTCCCATATTTTCCAATATTTTCTGGGGGCTCGACGATGAATTGTGTCTGCGTGTTTTTTCCCCTCCTGTAAGGAGGCAGGCCCCCACGGCCTGCCGGTCGAGGCGCGGGAGGCTGCCGGCGACCCCGCAGCCGACCACACAGCAAAGACCAGCAGAGACGTCCCAGCGGCATGGCGTGAGGGAAGGTTAGCCTTAAGTCGGGCGTGTCCACCTACAGGGGGATAGTCGACGAAAAATGCAACATACTCAAAACATACTCCAGAATTGTCAAACATAACGGAAAATACCCGGAAAAGTACTGGTGAGGGAAGGAAAACAGGAAAAATGACAAAAAAAAAATAAGAAAACAGCGGAACTACAGGAAAAGGAAAAAGCGGAACTACAGGGAAAGGAAAAGGAAAAGGAAGAAGGAAAAGGCACAAGGACAAGAAAGAAGGAACAAACAACAAATGGCCCAGCCAAACTGTTCAAAGGAGAAAGCGGCACGACAGAGTGCGTCATGTATCGTGGGATCCTGGTGGGCGATCATGCTTCGAAAATCCTCACGGGGGTCCTGTGCCCTTCCGATCGACGCCGAATTGAGGAAGCGCTACCTCCGCAGCAGCGCGGTGGGGTGGCGCGCTCTGGGGCCAATCATGGCCAACGTGTCGTGTCGAGCTTCGTCGAGAGGACCGCCATCGAGAAGAGGCCGGCGGCCATTATTTTCCTTGACCTCACGAAGGCTTTTCGACAAGCTTGTAAGCGAAATGGCCTTACATCTTGAAGCTGGCTCCACCACCGAGGCGGGCATGATCGCACAGCTCAAGCAAGTAGGGATTGACGACACGCCAGCCTCGCATCTGGCCGAATACCTCACGCAGCACGGAAGCATCTTGCAACACATCGAAGTCCCCGAGCACCACATCAACTTGGCCAACCTGCATAAGGACACCTAGTCGCACTCTCTCCAGAGGGCAGGGTCATCCTGACAACGATGGGCTCACGCCAAGGCTGCCGCTCCGGCGCCTTGATCTTCAATATCGTGTATAACGTAGCCCTGGGAGAGCTTCGAGCAGCGCTTGACGAGCTGAATCTCACATTCGCTGCGCAGTGCGAGCCCAGCGGCCCGCCATGGACCCACCAGCTCGGCGCCTTCCCCACGCAGACCGTGCCAATTGGGGAGGTCACGTACGTTGACGATGAGGCCACATTCATTGTAGGCGAGGACAACGCGAGCCTCATCCGGGCCGAAGCGGCGCACACCACCATGGAGAGGCACGGCATGCAGCTGAACTGGAAGCCCAGCGATCCAGAGGCCCTCATCATGTGGAGGGGCATGGGCGCCCAGGCCGCTAAGGCAGAGGCGATGATTGACGAGCGCTCTGCCTTGGCCCTACCTGGAGCCCCAAGCACCGAGTGTCTCGTAGTGGGAGAGTGCATGCACTGAGGATCCATACAGTTCGGGGTCGCATCCTCTACCATGGACACACGTGCGCGCCTACGGAAAGCATCCGCGGTGTACCATAGCCTGGTGCTGAAGATCTTCGCAGTGCAACGCATGAGCGCGCAGCTCAGGCTGCGACTTTCCTGTCCCTCGTCCTTTCAGTCTTGTTGTATAACTCTGAGCTGTGGGCGCCTTCGCGCACTCGCGCACGCGCCGCGCGCACGAAAACCCATGTCAGCCGTTTTCCGATCGCTGGGAAACCTCGCCTAACCGACCTGGCGCTTGTGCAAACATTACAACTGTCCTCTGTAGAAGATATTAAAGAATATACTCAGGCGGCGCCGCCTGTTACACATACCCAGCTTGATTTGCAAGCCCTTCCCTGCGCTGCAGGCCTTCCTCCTGCCTCGCTCGGCCTCTCCCTTCCCGTGGCCTCAACGAGCTCTCGCCGACCTCCGAGCGACTCCCGGGCTCGCGCCGCAGAGGGTGGCTCAACAAGATGCGGCTCAAGGGTGGCCGATGGGCCCTGTCCAGAACAACACCCTTGGAAATGCGACTAATGTACGGATGCGTTATCCCCAATGTCTGATTCAAACAACGCACATGGAAGCTGTCGGTTTTAGCCAACTCGTGTTTCCAAAGCCACGCCGCGCGCCAGCCGTACAACAACTTTGTTTGCAAGCAGGCTTTGGAGACGTGCAACTTCCGCTCCACGGTGAGGGTTGAGTGGGACCAGACTCCTGCCATAATGTCCAGCTCGGACCTGGCGCAACCGAGGCGCCTGCTCAGCTCGGAAGCAATAGATCCATCGACCGCCAATACACTCCCCGAATATACCATGGAACCCTTTTCGGGGATTTGGGCGCCGTCCGGACACGAGACGTGCCCCTGACACCGAATTGACAGCTGCTCGAGCTTGCCCCAATTGAACTTGAAGCCGTAGTTAGCGCCAGCGGCAGCGATAGCCGTCATGTACGTCCGCGCGCGCTCCATTCTCGAGGCCAAGATAAGGGTGTCGTCGGCATGCGCTAGCTCCTCTGTGTCTCCCATGCGGTCACCCAGCGCGCCCCTCGCGCCACGCAGAAGCACGGCCATCACCATGGCAAAGGGGAGAGCGGGCAGCCTTGACAGACTCCCGAGC